GCTGCAGACTTTTCTCTTGGGGATATCAGACGATGATTTGTATCCGTTTTTGCTTTTTCTCGCGACATATTCTCTATGGGATATAGCTTCAGAAAAGTGTACATTGCACCAGTTCGCCTATTCCTCCGGCCGATGCTTCGGATACTACCGCCCCCCCTACCACACTTCTACTTCTGTGCACAACAGCAATACCTACTCCGGAAAACTCGTCCATCTGAGCCGCGATGGCGGATCGCGCGCGGCGCGCCGCACCCGCCGATGACGGTACCGTGCGGATAAACGGTATCGTACTGCCGGCTGACATGTCTGATGAGCTGAAGACGCTCAACGTGAAGCTTGAGGATACTACCTGTGAAGTAAGTTTTGATGAATCTTGATTGAGGTAAAACCACAACCGTGATGGGGTAGCAGAAAAGAAGTTTGCTGGCCTTTTCCTCACTTACACTTGTTTCTGCCTTCGTGATTGTGGTTGAGTAGTTTAAGGAACTTATTGGCCGCACACTGGCTGTGTTCGGAGTTCCTCATCGATTTCCCCATGCAATCTTTCATAGTATTGCGAGACTATCAGCTTTGAAGAGTGGCGTGTGTCCGTGGGAAAACAAACAACAATCGCCACAATTGCAAGAAATGCGAGGGAACATGATGTGTGGGAGCATAAATAAGCAAGAAATAAAAAATAAAATGCAACGAAATAGGAAGAAATGAGTGCAATACTCCCTTGGAATGGAACGTTTCTAAACGATGTGGTACATAATTAACTATGTAGAAATGCGATTTCGCGTAAAATCACTCTAGGATGATAGCGGGAGACGGTCAATGACAATCGTAAGTTTGCCGCTCAGTCGCGCGGCGAACGGCGCGGCGCTTTCTTAATTTGCATTAGCATGCCGTTTTGAGTATCGGATTCCATAAGATACCACATTGTAAACAGTCATAACTATCACAAGAGTGCTGAGTTATGAGCAAAAGTCGAACCCGCACCTCACGCTTTCCTGGCGAGTACGCCACCAGGGCCGCATTTACGTTCAACGGCTTTTATGTTGTAGCCTTACAGTTTAACTTGGTGAGCCGGTCAGCCGTAATCGTTAGATATCCGCAATGAACCGCTGCCCGAAGGCTTTACAAGTTTTTTTGCGAAGTCGTTTTGTTATGTTGTCATTGTCATTTGCCATTTGCGGCGCGACATCGCACGCGACGTCCACCAGTTGCGAATTACGATTGTCTTGTCACATACCCACGGTTAAAGGGTAACGGTCATTAGGTCTGATGCTGTGCCACGCAAACTTGCTCTACCCCGCGCGAGGAGGAGAGAAGTCGATAGTGATGTATGAGTGACCGGCGTTATTAACGTTTCATTTCGAGCATTCACGTGGGGACCTTATGTCGCACATCACGTATTAGGCGCTAATATTTTGAATGCATCGTTTAGAAGCAGACTGCAAGCAGGTCTGTTTCTGTGTAGGACAGACTCTGCGACAAGCGGGTGTAAAGAAACTCACAGCCCTTGTGCTTTCCTTATTGATGTCTCCTCCCCTCTACCCAGTAGAAGGAGAAGCGCAAGAGTAATGGTCGAGCAATGGCTGATAAACTCCGCCCATCTCTGTGACCATCCCGTTATCGTGGAATGTGTTTTGAGCGACTGTCTTGCGGGAGGGGGTCAAGAATACCATAAAAGCTGCGAGAAGTTTGAATCTTCTGCTAAGTTCTTTTTTCCTCACTCTGAAGGTGTTAATGCGTAGATCTGAAATGGCGGCAAAGCTACTGTAACCATCACAAAAGTAGGGTCAGTTGAGATCCACAACTATAAATGCGTGCTCAGAAGATCGATAAAAGTGTTTCTCATAGCGAACTTCTGGTGTGAAAATTAGGTATTCGGTCGGGCTCGGGCCACAAGTTAGTCGGCTGGATAGTACGCCGACGTACATATGACGAAGTAGCTAATTCCCTCCTAAAAGGCACCGACATGCAGAGACATCGGACTTTCCCAGGGGAACTTCCTCAATTATGACTTCTGCTGTAAACACTGCCTTTGAGCAGTGAACATCTGCTACGCGCGTATGAGAAAAAGTTACGACGACATGTGGGAAACAGGAAAAATTGTGTGGAATATCTGCTGTTACTGCAAAAGCCATAAATATATCACATTTTACCGGTATAATTCTGACCTTGATTCAGTCTATCGAATCCACGGGTTACGGGATGCACCGCATTAGTATTACGATGGTTAGTTTTCTAACCAATCAGATACAGGATTGTTTTATTTTGATTTAAAGATGCGTCCTTTACTTGAGTATAGGGGAAGCTCATCCGGATGATTGCAAGTGATACGCTGGAAAAGTTACGGAAGATCTCGGTAGTGTTATGGATAGGCGCGATGTTTAGGAAGCACAAGTATAAGAGTAGGTCCCTGAGGGAACTCAGTCTTTCTGAAAAGGGGTCTTTGATCGATTTCGGGAGATATTTGTGAGCAGTACAGTACAACATTACAATGATTCCCAATTTGTTCGTGTATGGTGCTCTTCCAAATGTCTTTCGGGACGTGAACACCATTCTATAGAGTGAAGACTGAGTTTACAAACAAGCTAATCTAGCAAGCCCAGCACATAGACTATGGGCTAAGGCAGCGTCAGCACTTTGCGCGGCGGTAGCCGTTTCGGCGCGGATGCGTTAGAAGACGCGCGATCAATGCACGCCAGAAAGCATGCGCATCCGACTCGTCAATCGCAGTGGAAGCATAAGCGCTGGCCGTCGGGCGAAGTCTGACGCTGCCTAATGGCGAATAGTGTGGCTCAAGGAGATCGTGAAATGCCCCGGACAAAAGGTACTTGAAGTTAGACTTATGGCGCGCACAGCTGCCACGTCATGTCTGCTCGCCTGCGCTCTCCCACTGAGTGAATCTTATGGTTAGTTACTGATAATAAAGTTGCAGTCAGTCGGGAAGGTGTTAAGAGGGTGGGATGGGTCCGCGCTGCCTTGCTCGACCAATGGTGATTGGTGAATGATCGATTTAGGGAGGAAACAACCACTGGTAGGACACACCGCTCGGCCTATCCCATGTTTCCTGACACCACCCCTACTCATTGCGACGATGTCAAGTTTATCTACCCTTCCAAAAAGGAATCATTCTTAGGGCCTAGAAAAAACATTGGCAAGATAAGACAAGACAGGCACGACATACGTCCCCCAGCACCCTATCTCCTCTGAACTACCTTTACCTCTTCGGATTGCGAAACGCCGCCGTAAATAGCCTTCATGGCATCTGCATGAGGACCTAATTGATTTGGCAGAAAAGTGCTGCAGCAAGTCGGACCAATTAGCTAGCAGGACCTTAGGAGTTCCTAAGTCCGCTGTTTGGTGTCGCCGCAACCCGTCTCTCCCAAGTCTCTCTCGCCGTGGCCTGACTCCAGCAAACTCAAGAAGGATCAGTCAGCCGTAAAAGGGAAAACATGACAGAGTACAAAAATGAAGTTCAAGACATGCTTATGCGATAAACTAAATTAAAAGCCAGTGAACAGCAAACTAATTCCAATAAAATACCTATTCGTTTCAGAGCAAGGAAGCCGGTATAAAAACGTTAGTCATGCTCGATGATCAAGGAGGTAAGCGACTTCGAAGCTATTCTTGTTTTGCTCAAAAAACGGGGCAGTATCCTGTGCTCATTTCGCTGCTGAATCCCCTGGTTCTCCACTTGTTCTGTTCGGTTTATCTCCGCGTTTCCAGGCTTTTGCCACTTAGCAGTCGAAACTGCATCGTGGACAACTTTTTCAGCACTTTTAACGTTACGACGCGTCTCTCACGAGCGCATCGTCGGCATATGAAACCTGGGAACGAATTTCTGCTCTCCCTCGATATGCTCTCGCCGTTCTCTTGAACCACAGTGTTTAGTGAGTCATTGTATACGTACCTATAAATCAGTCAAGAAGTCGAAGGCACGGCGCAATCCGAAGAGGATGCGGTCAAGTCGGCGCTGTTCGACATTTTTCTAATACTGGAAAAGTGGACCATTTCAGAGCAACTCGAGCGATGCGAAGGTGCTTTGGACACAATCAACACGGATATGAAGGAAGCCGAAGAACATCTCAAAGGAATGGAGAAATGTTGCGGATTGTGCGTGCTGCCGTGGAACAAGTGCGTCACTCTCAATATAGAAATTTTGTCTGCTGAGCGCCTTTTTGCCTTCAAAGATAGTCGTTCAAATTGGGGGACCGCCATCTTGGTCGGCATTGCCACAACTGTCGAGCGTTGTCAGGAGGCGTGGCATGATTCCACTGAGCTTTCTACCAATAGAGGTCGCTTCAAGAGGAAAATAGCCAGTAAAAGAAAACTCTGCGTGTGGGCTCATTCCACGTTTCCTGACACCTCCCCGTCTGACTGCGACTATAGCAACCGCACCCCTATTTTGGTAGCGTGATTCGCGCCAAAATTCGCCGATGGGAATCACCAGTGTGCACGACACCGGCTCTTGAACGCAGTGTGATGGCTCGTGGGTGGGAAGGGAGAGTACTGTCAACGTCACTGGTGGAAGGCTGCAGGAGGGCGTTTGACCACACCCCACTCAGGCCCCCGCCAATGACGTTAGCAATGACCGCCCGCCCCCAGCCATCGTTCCCACTGCCTTTACGACACTACTTTTTTTATAACAAGAAGGGTCGATGATTGTTTCACACGTTTATTCCTCGCTCTGTGGAATTTTGCATAGTCATGTTCGCTAAGTGCTGGGTGTGTCAGACCGGATTTGGTGCGG